ATGCTGGCTGTAGACAGCCAGTGACTGCTTTCACGTAATAAATGGAATAAGACCAAGACTCATCGATTATTTTTGTGCCAATCAATTTATTCAACTTTTCTCCGCGGTTTAAATAAGTCTTTGTACTACACTAACAGGAACGAAAGGTCTTTGGAATCTATATCGCTAATTAGAAAAAGCGTATTAGGATCACAGATCACAGACTACTGGTGTTACAATTTTAGAAGGCGGTGCCTGGTCGAGGATTGTTTGTAATTATGAGTAGCTATCAGGGCATTGAGTCATCGGAATTCCCCGATGAACACATGATAATTAATTAATAGTTAGTTACTATTAAATACGTGTTTTTTTTAGTTACCATACCGAACAGCAAATATTCGCCCCAACAGGTCGTGTTCGATTTTGACCGTTGAAACAAACCGCCAATCACATCGTTTTGTGAGATACTACTCACAAGGATGAGGGAATGGGCTAGAGGAGTTTTAGAGCCGGAAAAAAAATATTTTTGGGAACACAGACGGTAGTTGTGCAAACTAATTTCCACCGCTTGTGCTGTGGCTAGTATCCGATAACGAACCTGTGTTGATAATCGCCCTGGTGAACTTCATGCACGAGTTGGAACACCTCATCTTCGGTCTCGGTGACCTAATCGTTTTGGCATTGAGGCAAGCAGGCAAGCAGGCCGGCAGGGTGGTGCTCACGAATCCGTTCGGACAATAGTCTAACCATGTGGCCCGTGTTTTCACTACAGGAACAAGTAAAGAAGTATACACAGAGTCGGAAACTTTGTCCGTCAATCGCAAACACAAGTCCAGCCAACTTTGTGTCCATCATAGGTCGAAAAATGACTGATTCAAACTTAGCACTAAAGGATGAATGTTGGTAACCAAGTGACCTCCGGTGACTGTTGTTGGTGTTAATGAACTCCTGACAGTTCAAATTTGTAGGTAAGTGTGAGTAGAAAAAAAATAGGAGAAAAAAATATTTCACTGATATTCAACTTAACCAGTAGATCAGCTGCAACGAGTTAATGTGTTTCCAGATATCAGTTCAAACCCAGTGAAAAATCGATTCAGTTTTTCTTATGGTCCAGTTTGATATCTTGATTGCTAAGATCAGCGCAGACCATGCTGATTAATTCATTGGGCTACGCATTCCTAACCGTTCCAGCTAGGCCCAGGTCACGGATGAAAGACTTCACTAATGCCTGAGGCATAGGCTGTTTGGACAGAGTATAGGTCTATAGAGCTAGAAGGTAGATAGTTTAGGATGAGGGTATGATGATCAATTACACCACAAATTCCGAATGTGAATAGCCTGTGCGTGTGTGAAAAATCAATCAAATTGCCATTATTAACAGTATCAATAAGCGGGATGAGATTTATTTCGAAAGCTAAACTGAAAAATTTATGGTTTTCTGGATTGGAAATAACGCATGGACTTCTGTAACTGGCTGGACTCTAGCTATATATATATACATATATATATAT